TGTTCTTACATCGTCTTTCTTTTCTTAAAGAATTGCTTATTTTAAGTAAGTAATTCACTCACATGGTTCTGAATTGAAAAGGCAGAAAAGGATTTTGAGGACAAGTTCTTACTCTGCTTCTGGGTCCCTGACATTGAATTACTGAATTCAGAATATGTTTATGGTTTGGTGGTTCCTAAAGTTAAGTGTAGAATTACCATGTAATCCAGCAATTCCACATTGGGGCTGTATATGCAAAGAAATTGTATCCTACGATGCAAAATGATTCAGCTGTAAAATGGAATGAAATTGGTACATGCTACACCACGGATGAATCTTGAAAATGTTATGCTAGTTGAAATAAACCAGTCACAAAATTACAGATTCTTTAAAAAGACTTCATTTATTCATTTGCTAGAGAGAGAGAGCACAAGTGGGTAGAGCAGCAGGTGGAGGTAGAGGGAGAAACAAGCTCCCCGCTGAGCAGAGAGCTGATGCAGGACTCGATCCCAAAACCCCGGGGAATCATGACCTGGGCTGAAGGCAGACATTTAACTGACTGAGCCACCCAGGCGTCCCACAAAATTACAGATATTTTATGAATGGGGGATTAAGTGTTTAACGGCAACAGTTTCCTGTAGTTAAAGCCACTGAATGGCACATCCCAAAATGGTTAATTTCATGGAATGTACATTTCACCACAATTTAAAAACACACACTTATGGAGTGCCTACTGTGTGCTGTGCTCTAGGATCTGACGATGTAGCCATGAACAAAACACAGGAATCCCTGCCTCCGGGGAGTGGATGTAAACGATATAAATACTAGTAAGTGGGTTTTATGATATGTTGCAAGGTGCTAAGTGGTAGGGAGGGAAGAAGTTAGCCAAATAAAGCGTATCAAGGACTGGAGGAACTTGTTCTAGGCTATTTGTTGTTGTCTAGGTATTTGTTGCCTATGATACTGAGGACTTCCTCTTGTGGCCAGAAGTAGTCAAAGTGCTGCACCCAGCTTCGGGTGGGTTCTGCCAACGGGGAAGCCTGGCCAGAGACCAGAAGTGGGAGAACCATGGAGTGATATCTAGTCCCCTGCTCCCTTCCTGCTGGGCACAGTTTGGGCAGTGATTGTACCTCTGGGACCACATGTTCTGCAAGGAGTGCCTTCCTTGTGGCTCCAGATCTCAATGAGTTCTGCTAATTCTGTTTCCTGCCCCTGCACCCGAGCCCTGGATGTGGTGCCTCCCTGTAGCAGGCAGAGTAACAGACCCCCCAAAAAGCCCATTAGGAACTAATTAATCCCTGGAATCTGTGAATAGGTTATGCTTCGTTAGGGAGAAGCATAAAAAGGGAGAATTAAATTTGCGGATGGAGGGGCGCCTGGGTGGCTCAGTCAGTTAAGTGGCTGCTTTAGGCTCTGGTCATGATCCCAGGGTCCTGGGATCCAGCCCCACATTGGGCTTCCTGCTCGGCAGGGAGACTGCTTCTCCCTCTCCCTCTGCCTGCCTGCCTACCTGCCTGCCGTTCCCCCTGCTTGTGCTCTCTTTCTCACTATCTCTCTCTCTCTGTCAAATATATAAATAAAATCCTTTTTAAAAAATTGTAGATGGAGGGATGCCTGGGCGGATCAGTCAGTTAAGCAGATGCCTTCCTCTCAGGCCATGATCCCAGGGCCATGGGATCGAGTCCCACATCGGGCAGTTTGGTCATCAGGGAGCCTGCTTCTCCCTCTGCCCCTCCCCGTGCTCGTGTTCTCTGTCTCTCTGACAAATAAATAAATTAAATATTTTAAAAAATAAATAAGCAAAATTGCAGATGGAAATTGAGAATGCTAATCAGATGGCCTTCAGGTAAGAAGATTATCCTGTTGGGCTCAAGGTAATCACAAGGATCCTCAAAGGTGGAGGAGGCGGGGGTGGGGTTGGAGGGTGGGGAGGACACCTGGGTGGCTCAATCGGTTGGGTGACTGACTCTTAGTCTTGGCTCAGGTCGAGATCTCACGGTCATGAGATCCAGCCCGAGTCAGGCCTGCACTAAGCATGGAGTCTGCTTCAGATTCTCTCTGTCCCTTTCCCACTGCCCCTCTTCCCACTCTATCTCAAATAAATAAAATTAAAAATCTTAACTTAAAAAAAAAAATGGAAGGGGGAGACAGAAAAAGAAATCAGAGTGATATGATATGAAGGCCTGACTTTTTTTTTTTTTTTAAGATTTTATTATTTATTTGACAGAGATCACAAGTAGGCAGAGAGGCAGGCAGAGAGAGAGGAAGGGAAGCAGGCTCCCCACCGAGCAGAGAGCCCAATGCGGGGCTCGATCCCAGGACCCTGGGATCATGACCTGAGCTGAAGGCAGAGGCCCCAACCCACTGAGCCACCCAGGCGCCCCCTGACTTATCTTTGCCATCTTTGTAGATAGAGGAAGGGCCAGGAGCCAAGGAATGGAAGCAGCTTCTAGAAGCTGGGCAAGGCAAGGAAATGGATCCTACTCGGAGCTTCTGGAAGGATTGCTGCTCTGCCAATGTCCCGATTTTAACCCAGTGAGGCTTATGTCAGGCTTCTGAGCAACAGAACTGGAAGACAGTACGTTTGTGTTGAAGACGCTAAGTCTGCAGTTATGTCACACCAGCTATAGAAAACGAATACGTTCCATATGAATTTGTTGGTTCCACAACCCCGCTGACATCCCTGACACGAATCCCTTCATTACAGTTTGTTCTGTGAAACCCTTTTGAGTTGAACTCTGTTTCTCTCACTTAAGACCCAGCAATCCTGCTTCTGGGAATTTTTCCTATAGGTAGGATGCCTGTGCTTACGGGAAACGGTGCACAAGGGTATTTCTTGCTTGTAAAAAGAGAGACTGGAAAGCCCTGAATGAAATCAACCCCAAGAAAGACACACCCTATAGCTTTCCACACAGGGTAGAAAGAATGAGGAAGTGGTGATGGACTGATAAAGGTGGGTCTGCAGGTCAACTGTTCAGTCAAAAAAGCAAGATGCATTTCAGACAGTGAAACATGCTATGTTTCAGGTAAAGAAGAGGAGAGGGGATAAGAACACATTCAATTAAAGAACAAAATGCATTCAATTTTGTAAAAAGAAAATCTTGGAAAGAGTCACAAGAAAGCATGGACAGTTGGTTCCCCTGGGCGCCTGTGACTGGGGGCGGGGAACCACCTGGGTGGAGGGCGGACAGACAGAGCTAGTTCTTGAGTGTCTCTTTTTTTTTTTTTTAAAAGATTTTATTTATCTGTTTTGACAGAGAGAAATCACAAGTAGGCAGAGAGGCAGGCAGAGAGAGAGGAGGAAGCAGGCTCCCTACTGAGCAGAGAGCCCGATGTGGGGCTTGAACCCAGGACCTGGGATCATGACCTGAGCCAAAGGCAGAGGCTTAACCCACTGAGCCACCCAGGCGCCCCTTGAGTGTCTCTTAATAGCATTTGATGTTTTAAATCCTTTCTTAAGAGAGCCGACACTATGGTGCAGGAGGTGAGGCATGAAAAGTAAAGAGGGCGCCCAAAACCTCAGTAACCAAGATAAATACTTTAATGAAGTATTTTTTAAAAAGCACAATTAATGTGAACAAAAGAACACCCATGAACAAAATACTGAAATTTTAAGTAGAGATTCATTAACAGTACTGAGTTATATTAGAGCCTGAGGCAAAAGGAAAAACCAGTAATATGGATTCCACCTTTGAAAGTTTTCACAGTAAATAATGAAGTCGCCTATCCTGGATGGCCAAGGTTTCCCCAGGGCCTTAGGAATGCCTTCCTCCTCCCCAAGCCCTCCAGATGGTCGCCATGCCCACCGTATAAAAGTTTTAGGGGATGCCCGCAGCTCACCACTGCCCCCTGGTGGCAATCAGCTTGCACACAACAGCATCTACTGGCTCTTCGCTTCAGCGGAGGTTTACCGAGTGCCCACTGAGGCCGGATCCATCCAGGGCACTGTATCTCAGGGCCAGCCCGAGGGAGAGGACAGCACACAGACCGGCAAAGCTTGGCACATGGCAGGTGAGACAACCTGCCTGACTGCACGTGAGGGGCAACTCAGGTGGGCCAGGGAGGGCCCTGGGGAGGAAGCGGCACCGAGCTCTGGTCCGAGGGGTAAGCAGCTGCCAGGGTGCGACCCCCTGGAAGGGGCAGGCAGACAGCCTCCCTGCTGGGCTTCATCCTAAAATGGTGTCCTTGCTCACTGTACTATTCTTTAAGCCCTTTCACGTGGCCCAAATATTTCATTACTTTTTAAAGGAGCCTCACGAGGGGTGCAGGGGTGTCCGGGGAGAGGGACAGGCACACGCCAAGGCCCACATTTTGAGCATTTAAGTGCCAGGCGCCCTGCTTGCCTGTGGCATGATCTCATTTTAGCACTAAGTCCCCAGGAGAAAGGCACTAACATTACTCATTGTGCAGAGGGGGAGGTATACAGAGGCTGAGTAAGTTGCCCAAGGTCACACTGATACAGAAATTTAAAGTGCTCAGGACCTGCAAGGAGGGAGCAGGAGAGGGGGAGAGTGGAGCGGGGGGACAGGAAGAGACTGGGGCAGAGAGCGCTGCAGAGAGGACTTCAGGCTTCTGCTCTCAGGGAGGGATGGGACTTGACTCCTGGCTCCCCTCTAGCCACTGCCTGTTGGGGTCTGATGTGGACTGGGGTGGGGGGGGGATAGTGGAAGTGGCAGGGGTGGGCTGCAGGCCAGAGGGGATGGGATCTGGACCCAACTGGAGGCCATGGATGCAAAGGGCAGTGATCAGAGATGGACGATGCTCCTGAATGGGGCAGGGGGCCTGGGGGCCAAGCCATAGAGTGCGGGGTGGGGCTGAGAACTCCAAGGTAAAGGAACCCTGGGGAAGAATGTTGTAGGCAGTGGAACAGCACGTGCAAGGGCCTGGAATCCGAACAGAGGGAGCTGCCCAGACAGCTGGAGGATAAAGCCTGAGGCACCGCAGGCCAGGCCTCCAACACTCACTGGGTTTCCCCCCACTCCACGAGAAGAGCTGTGTCCACAGCCCTCGAGACGCCCCCCTGAGCATCTGAAATCCTTTATTGGAAGATCATTGCTGTTTACCATATAGAAGACTCCGACAGCAGATGAACAGTGAAAACAGAGCCCATAGTGACTAGAGCAGGCCTCTGGGCTGGAGACCCCCACCCCCACCCCAGGAACCAGCCTAGCGACCTCCACCCCTCCCTGGACCCCTAGGCCTTTGGCATAATGCTGATGGGGGAGGGGTAGCCTCCTGCAAGCAGTGAAGCCCCTTGACTCAAAGCAGAGACTTGGATGAGCACTGGAGGTGGGGGCAGTGGGGGCAGGGACAGGCCCTCTCCCGGCCCCAGGCAGGGCAGGAGGCGAAAGTGGAGGAAGCCAGGAGCTGGGGAGACGGCATCTATTTCTGTTTTCTGAAGAGGGGCACACGGGGGCCTGCAGGCAGGTGGGCAGCAGCTGAGGCGAGTTAGGCGCTGACATCCTTCTTGTCGCCTGGCTTGGGGCTGGCTTCCAGCAAGGGGTCCCCGGGGCCCGCCTCCTCCCCATCCTTGGCCTCGCTGGACTTGGAGTTGGGGACCCAGAGGCCGGAGTCAATGCAGCGCTGCATGTGGTACTTCGCATCCTGTGGGGAGAAGGATGGCGAGTGAGGCCGGGCTGCCCACCCACCCCCTGCACCCCCCTACCCCCTGCACATCTTTCAACCTGCTCACTGCTTGTTCTAGACCAGAGCTGTCTAGGGGATTCTGCAATGATGGGAATGGTCTGCAATCTGCACGTGTGCCTGCCAAGTCCTTCAGCCACAGCCAGTGCCGGTGAGGAACAGACCTTTCCGTTTCATTTAACATTAACGCAAATTTAAACAGTGTACGTCCAGAATGAGAGTTGCGTTCCAATAAAACTTTACTTTTAAAGACAGACATGGAGCCTCGGTCTAGAGATCCTTTTTCATGGAAGCTTCTAGAAATCCTGGGCCAGGTCCTGCAACTAGACCCATTTCACAGATGAGGAAACTAGTGTGGCCAACCAGTGAGGCAAGCAGCAGGCACGGGTCAAACCGAGATCTATGAAGATACAGAGTCCCGTCCACCAGCACCATCACTGCTCCTAAAAGCAGCAGCAGCTGGGGACGCCTGGCTGGCTCCATCAGTAGAGCACGTGACTCTTGATCTGGGGTCATGAGTTCAAGCCCCACGCCGGGCAAGTACAGTGACAGGTGACGTGTACCACGTGCTCAGCGCCCCCAAGCATTCTCCAGGTCAGTCTCCAAAGAAACTGTGGTTTGATGGGGTAACCCAGGCTGGGGAGGAACGCCCCTTCCTTGGATGAAGGTGAGGCAACCTGGCGGGACCACTAGGCTCGTAAATGGCTCACAGGGGCAGTGACACTCGGCGGCAGGGGACATGCTGAAAACGCCGTGTTCACCTCTGGGGGTGGTCACACAGTAGAAGTGTGTGAAAGGAAGCCTGGCTGCCTCCCGTGCGGGCCACAGGGTGACAGACTCTCCCGGGGCAGCCGGGAGTGGGGCTGGAGTGTGGCCCTGGGGTGCCGTTACTCACGGTGGGGTCCATCTTGCTGATGGCATCTTGGAGCATCTGCACATCCTTCACGTCAAAGCATTTCTGAAGTTCCTGCGGGTGCAGAAGGGCTGGGGGTCAGGGCCTAAGTCCCCAGGGGTCCTCCCTGCTGCCCCCCCAGCCCCCCACCTGGGGACAGGGGAGCCGCACCTCAGGGAGAGACTCATAGACTTCAACGGGGTCCAAGCCGCCAGGGCCCAGCCGCTTCTTGCGCTCCTCCTCCTCGTACTCCTTCATGGCCTTCTCGATTCGCAGCTTGGCGCGGCCCCGCACACGCTCCTTGAAGGCCTCAAGTTCATCGTTGAAGCCCTCCATGTACTGGCGGTCGGCGGTCTGCAGGGTCGGGGGCCGAGAGCTGTTCACGGGGCCGCGCCCAGATCAGCCCGCATAGGCCCGTGCAGTCTCCTTGCCGGCTCTGCCATCTCTGCGCTAACAACCACCTGCCTACCCCATCCCCCGAGCCACAGACCGGCGACGCTCACCTCCTCCACGACCGCCTGTGGGGACGGCAGGCACCTCAAACTCAACATGGCTTGCTCGCACTCTGGACCACTCCGCACGGGCTGCCCTGGCCTCAGTCCCCCCAGCCCCAGCATGGGCCGCCCTGTTCTTCCAGGCGCTCAGCTGAGGAGCCCTGAGGCGTCCTTGACTCTGTCCCTTAACCCTGTCTTTCAAACTGCCTGGGAGCTGGCCACCGGCCCCTCCACACCTCTGCCCTCCCCTGCTACAGCAGGCTCCGATCCCGCGGCCGGGAGCCCGAGCGGACGCGCGGACACCCCTGCTGCAGACTGAGGCTGGTGCGCCACAGAGGGCCACACCCCAGCCCGGCCCGGCTCCTGGGCACGCTACCTTGATCTTAGTGAAGAACTGCCGGAAGCAGGCCCGGGGATCCACCTTCAGGCTCTTGGCGAGCTCCAGGATGAACTGCATGACGATGGTCTGGTGTGCCACCTGCTCCATGAGCGCACATTTCTGCGAGAGGGAACAGACGCACCAGGTCACCGAGGGGCAGTCTCGGGACAACGGCTCTTCCCCAGCCCCGGGGCAGCCTCTGCTCACCTCCTCCACCTCCAGGTCAATGCACCAGATGACCAGGTAGTTGGCCGTTTCCTCGCACACGAGGTGGACATTGTCCGACAGGTACTTTTGGCTGTCATCCCAGCGGCGAAGCATGCCTACGGGAAGGCGTCGGCAAGGTGCTGAAGGGCCCCGGAGGCAGAGGGCCGGCCCCTGCCACGCGCACCCCACGCCCCAGCAGCAGCGGGCCCCTCCACCCCGCGCCCAACTCACCAAAGTGCTTGATCTGTTTCTCGTACTTCTCCACGAAGGTTTTGTGTTTCTGCTCCCTCACCTCCTCCGACTCCTCCTCCGCCGGCTCTGGCTTGGTATTGACCATGCTCTGTGGTGGGGCGAGAGGGGGAGTGGGCTGGGGCGAGGCCGCAGGGCACCTCCAGCGCGGCCGGGCGGGCCGAGGCCGCAGTGCCCATCCCTTCCACGGCGGAGGCGGTGCCGGTGTCATGAGCATCAGTGTGGCGGGAGCCAGGGTATGGCAGGTGTGGCCTCGGACTAGGGCCTTCGGGCAGATCAGAGGGGCGGTACCAGTGGGGTGCTTCATCCGCCCAGCCCCGCACACCTATCCCTCCACCCCCACCAGCCCGTGCCCACCTTGACCTGCCGCCCACCACCTACCCCTGACCAGCACGCAGCACCCCGCCCCTGCGGGAGGGGAAGCCCCGCCCCCCCCACCTTGCTGAAGCCGTCCTTGCTGAGCGTGTCCACGTTCCAGGGCATGTTCTTCTCCTTCTTGCGCATCTCCTCCAGCTTCTGCTCCCAGCTCCGCTCCTCCTTACGCAGCTGCTGAGCCTCAGCCTGCAGCCGCTCGAGCTCCACCTTGCTGCCCTCGCCCTCGGCCACCTCCAGCTCCTTCAGCTTCCGCTGGCACTCAGCCACCTTGCGCCGGCACTCGCGGCAGCCCCTGTCCAGCTCCTCCTTCTCCTTCTGGAACTGCTCCATGCGCTCCACCCGGGCCTGGGGGTAGATACACAGCCCGTCACTGGGGGGGAAGGGCTAGTCCCTGGACCTCAGCTCCACCCCACCCAGGGCTCTACTCACTGCACCTGGGATGGCCCAGGGAATGTATGCGCCACCCTCTGTGGCCCGGATGGCCGGCTTCCACCCCCACCAGTACACCTGCACACAACTGCGTCTGTGCACGTCGTCATACCCCCCACCCAGGCACCCTCCGGGCCATCTACCACACTCAGCAAAAGCCCAAGTCCTACCCATGACCCACCCACAAGGCCCTGGACGGTCTTCCCCTCCCCTCAGTCACACTGGCTGCCTCACCCTTTCTCCAACCCACTTCCAACCTCAGGGCCTTTGCATTGGCTGTTTCCTCAGCCTGGAAAGCTCTCTGTTCAGATTCCACCTCCCAATACCACTTACTCCCTTATATCCTTACCATCTTTGCTCAAAGGTCACTTTACAGATGAGGCCCTCCCCTGACCACCCTGCTGGCAACCTCCCCTTACTCTCGCCCTGTGTCACCTTCCTCCTCAGCACTCATTACCTACTAACGCCTGGTGATAATTATTTATTGTGTTATCGACGCTGTCCCGCTCCGGGGATACTGGCTCCATGGTGGCGGGGATCTGCTCACTCTTGTATCTCACACACACCGCACACATGGGAAACATTTGTTGGATGAATAAAATGATGAAATACTGGATGGGGGTCTCAGGCTCCCCCTCCTCCCTAGAGCTGCCCTTAGGGACACTCGGGTGTCCTTCCTTGCCCAGCAACCTCCTCCAGCCGCCTCTGCCCCCAGCTGAGGCCTGCTCACTGGCCCTGTCCTTCCCTCCCTCTCTGCTACCCAGTCCTGACTACTTCCACTTCTAGATGTCTCTCCAATTCGCTCCCCTCAGGGCACTGCTGCTGGACTGCTGCCAGGACCCCTTCTACTCTGTCTCCAGGCCGGCACACCTCCTTCAGCCTTAGCTCGGGGACCACCAGCCTCCTGTCCCCCTTCCCCAGCTGTTGCTCCCCAGACCGCCTCTTCGGCTGTTCCCCAAGCTCAGATGGTCCCTTTTCATTCCCCTTCTCGCTCAGGTCCCCAGCGGACCCCATGTCACACAGCATGGCCCCGTCTGGTCCCCAGCCCAGCTGGGCTCCATCACCCCCACCGGCTCTCAGCAGTACCTGCTCAATCTCGAACCACTGCCTGAGCCCTGAGAGGCGCCCTTACCTTCCGTCACTGCTCCCTGAAGCTGGACTCAGAAGCTGCGAGGCGCTGAAATCCACACATCTGTCTGCAGCCCTCCCGCCACCCCCACCTAGAGTGCCTGGGTTCAGACAGGAACCCTGACCCTTGCCCCAAGCTGCTCAGATAGCACCAAGGCCCCACGGGGGCCTGGGTCCCACTCTCCTCTCCCAACTCTGGGTCCCAGGCAGATGCTGGCCCTCATGGTTCCCCAAATGCCCCAGCTCGCTCTTGACTCGTGGCCTCTGCACAGGCTGTTCCTTCCACCTGGAGCTCTCTTCCCTTTGCTCCACTTACTCTGCCCCCGGGTCTCAGCTTCGACAGAGCCTTGTCCAAGTGCCCCCATGCCACATCATTGTGCCCCCAAGGCCCCTTCATGATCCCCAGATGACATGATAAGATGCTGGACGACAGGTGCAGGGCCCCGAATGTGGGGTCATAACCCACAGCCACCGAGTAAAGGCCAGGTGTCCCTGGGTCAATCCCTTAACCTCTAGGGACCTCCGTTTCCTCAGCTGTCAAAGGTGACAACAGCCCCGACCTCACAGGATGGCACTAGGAGAAGCAAAGGAGATAAGAAGCTCAAGTCGACAGTCCAGAGCTGTGCTAGATACTCAGCAAGCCCCTTTCCCGTGCTAGCGACTGCCACTACCATCCAAGGGGACAATTTCTCTCTCTCTCTCTCTGGGGGCCATTCTGGGCCTCAAACAAGAAAATGTACTTGAAGCGTTTAGGTCCATTTCCAGCCCAGAGTAAATGCTCAGTAGCTGGGAGCGGTCGGCGCCGCACAGTCCAGTCGCCCAGCTCCACCACTTACTGGCAACGTGACCTTAGCTGAGACACTTAAAACTCTCCAAGCCTTGGGGTTCCTCTTTGGGAAACGGGGCCTCGGGAGTTAGTCCCAGGAAACTGCTGGCAACCCAGTACTCAGTAGTGAACACGCTCCACTGTTACCGCCGTCACAGCCATGTTACCGCCGTCACAGCCACTGCCACCAGAATGGTCTCCCGACTCACTTCTGGGCCTTCTTGGAGGCCGTATCCCCAGGTTCTAGCACGGAGCCAGGCGGGCGGTGGGCGGGAACCAGGAAGCCTGGAGCCTTCTCTCACGCCCCACAGGACTGCTACAGTCAATCCCGAATCTCACTTTGCCCATGTGGATAAAGGCCGAGAAGGGCCTTTTCTTGTGGAGGGACCAGAGAAAGCAGCCCTGGGCCCTGCCCGTTCCCCTTCCTGGGATGGGCCTTTGTTGCCCAGGAGGCTCCCTGCCGTCAAGAGGCTGGCATCATCGCTGGCCTCAGGTGGCAGCAGGAACCTACCATCCTGCTGACTCCTGCTGGGCCGCCACCGAGCTCTTCTCGGTGTCCTCTGAGTGGCCGCCAGGGAGACTGAAGCTAAATAAAGGTCTCTCAGAGCCGATGGGGGCGGCAGCTTGCCCAGCCTGGGCTTTACACCTCTGGGAGGGGCTGGAGCAGGCTGGGCAGGGCAGACGGGGGGGTGGGGTGGGGGGGGCTGCAGGTGTCCCCAGCCATCTGCCCTACAGATAGAAAACCCGAGGCTCCCAGAACCTTGGTGCCATCCAGTTCCACGAAAGGAGTCACAAGAAACCAGTAACAGCAGCTGGGGGTGGGGGGTGGGGGCGGGGCATGGCAGGGCCTGGGAGACTCCCCTGTCCCTTTCTGGATACCTCTGGAATTTTTCTTTCCCAGGAGCACGGATCACCCGAATAACAACAATGATGCTAACGGCTCAAGTTTACAGAGAGTTTATCACTCACCAGATGATGTCTATCCCAAGGACATCACACAAGTTAAATAAAGTAACCTCTCCTACCTAAAGACCCTTTCAGGCAGATACCCTTAGTAGTCCCAGCTTGGGGAAACTGAGAGACAAGATCAAACAACCCGCCGGAGGTCACACAGTAAGCCAACGGATTGGATTCCGGAGCCAGGATTGGACCCCGGGCGTGCAGGCTGATACTCAGAAGCGCACCAGGCTACCTTCTCACTAATCCCACCTCCCGGGTCCCATCTGCTTACTCCCTCCCAGGCCCTGAGCCAAGTTCTTGTCGAACCTAATCTCATTTCATTCTCAGGTTGGTCTCCGGAGGCAGGGAGAGTACAGCAGTAAACAGTAGGGCTGGGATTAGAGCCCAAGCTTGCCTGTCACAGCTGGAGATGCTTATCTCCCCTCCCCCTCCCCCACCCCCTACGATGGTCCACTACAGCTCCAGGGTCCTCAGCAGGACGGGAAAAGGTCCTGTGCCAGGAGGGAGGAAGGCATGGTGGGGAGGATGCCCTTGCTACAGTCAATCCCGAATCTCACTTTGCCCATGTGGATAAAGGGTGACTTGCCACCCAGCAGGACCAAAATGTTCTCAATACAGCTGTATAGATTAACCTCTTTATGTGAGAGAAGTAGGTGTTCCCAAGAATAGACTTATTAGAGCTCTGCGCAGATCTTAAGCATTTCGTAATAAAATGTTACACACAGCAAGAAATGGAAGTGCTAGAACTTTCTTCTTACTCCGTGGCTTGCCTGGCAGGTACACTCCCCTAGAGACTGCTGCCGTAGGGTAAGGATTGGAAATGGGACTAGAGACCAGATGTAGGGACAAAAGACACCACGGAATGGGGAAAGGCTGTTCTAGGAGGTTCTGACTGGGAGTTGCCTTATGCAAGGGTGGGGTGAGGAATTCCTAACTGGAAGGTTCTGAGAGATCCCTCGTCCTCAGTGTGAGAGTATAGTATACACCAGTACGTCGGTGTAGGAGCTCAGATTTGCGGGACCAAGAGGTTGGACTACTAGGACTTATGAGAGCTGTTTTGTTGGCCTGTGAGCACTGCTGGGCAGGGAGAGAGGCAGGAGGACACCCAGACAGGGTTCTGGGATCTGGATTTGGGGGCAAATAGGTAAAAGAAGGGATGGTAAATTTGGAATCAAATTGGGCGGTTCTCTAGTGAGAGCAGGTACAGTCTGGGTGTCTGAGAGCAGCAGACTGAGCTGGGGTCAGGAAGAAGGCCGGGTGGGTTTGGGTGCTGGACTGGAGTTGGTATAAGGCATTCCAAGGCTGCCAGAGGCTCCTACAGGAAACTGTTGGGGGTGGGTGGTGCCTGGGCCTGCAATACCAAGGAGGGGCAGGGGCTCTGGAAAGACCGGCCGGAAGCCCTGCGGGGTAGGGTTTCCTGGTATAATGGGAAATGGGGTCCACAGTAGGAGACGCTAAGAGTGGCTGGTATTAGGAAGGCTCCATCACAGTGGAACCGGTTGTTTGGTCTGGAGGGGAAACGGGTTCCAAAACTCCAGGCCTGAATGAGATTGAAGGCCCTGGTGTAGCACCCATGTGCATTCCAGGGAAGGGGTCCTGGCTATGGGTTGGACTCCAAAGCCAGGAACAGAAATCTCGGGGAAGAACACAGTTCCTTGTTCTGTTGGGAGGAGGAGCAGGATCTCTGGATCTGAAGGGGAATCCCTGTCAAGAACTAGGAAAGAAGATCTCAGAAAGAATTCAAAGTATTGAGCATTCTACCATTTTGGGAGGGGCGGATGGTAAATCCAAGATCAGAAATGCCTCCCAGAATAGGATCAGGATCCAGACTCTGAGGCAGAGTTCTGCGTGCAAGTGGAAAGTCCCAGAGGGGACTGAGGAGCACCCCCAAAGCTTAACAGTTTAGACTCGGAGAAAGGTTCCCTAGGGGTCAAGTGGGAGTTCCATGCAGAAACCGAAGGGGAGGCCCGAGATCTCTAGTAGGGACTCGGCGCCCTGGCAGTTCTGGGGTCCGGAGTTGAATCGAGGAACCCCAAGCGATACTGAAAGTCCAGACTGTGCGTTGGGAATCCCAGGTGTCAATGGCGGGGTCCCTGGCACTACTAGGGGTCAGAACTCTGGAGCGGAGTCCCGGGCGCTGGGGGGAGGGGCGGGGGAGGGAGGCAGGGGATGGACGCGCGCACTCTACCTGGTGCCGCCAGCGGAAGAGGCTGGCCGTGTCGATGTTGGGGTGCGTCTCGTCCTCATCGTCAGACACCTCTATGTGGTCCCACACGCTATAGTCCACCATCTTGCCTCAGCGGCTCAGCCCGCTCGGGCCCCCGGTCTGACTCTGGCGGTGGCAGCGCCGGAGACTCGGCCTGCGGAGCCCCGCCCCTTCCGCTTCCGCCCTGGCGCGCACGTTCCCCGCCCGCGCATGACGTTATATCCCTAGTAACCGCGGTGGCGGCAGTGGCGACCCGGCTTGCCTTAAAGGGTCAGGCGCATGTGTTCAGGCCCCCGGGAGTCCCCGCAAAGACCCCGCCTCATGGGGCGCGGGGCCTCGGCGGGGCATCTCCTGGAGGTATACGGGCTGGCGTTCCAACTTCGAGCCCCCCCCTCATCTCCCGTTGCACCCCGGGTGGGCGTTTGCGGCGGCCGCGAGGGGCGGGGCAGGTGGCGAGACTGAAGCCAGGGATTGTCCCCTCCAGCCACGCCGCAGTGACGTCAGCCCGAGCAGACTGCAGGGGCGGGCTTGGGCGGGAAGACCTCTCCCCGGGCACCCGGAGAAGAGGACCTAACCCCACGCTGGGGAGGGGTGTCTGATCAGAGCATTTTCCCAATCCTAGGGGTACAGCACCCTGCCCTGGGAAGGTCTAAATGGAGGAGGGATATGGCCCTGCCCTTGGGGGGTCGGATGTGGGGACGATGTGGTCCTGCCTTGGGCGCTAGTGTTTCCCTGGCTCGGGCCACAGCCTCCCCCCTCGCGTCACCATCCTCTGCCATTCCTGAGCGGGGATTCACGTACATACGCCCCCTCTAAACTCACCCGGACCCCCACCCCCCATCCCCGCCACCCAACTCTTCTGGGGATCTCGGGCTCTTGTCCGCGGCGTCTCCCCGTGCGGCCGCTGGGTGTCGCTAATGTCTAGTCAAAGGCCTGTGCTCCAGCCCAGCGCCGCCGGGGGACGGGAAGGGGATCTTGGAGGTGCGGATGGAAGCTTTCCTCGTGGTGGTACTCTAGAATCGTTCGTAGCCCCTCCTCTTTGGTCTCGAGCCCCCTTACGCGGCCGGGGCTCTAAAGACTCCATTACTGCGAGCTTGGGCGACCCCAGCTGCACACTTGCGTGCATCCCAGTCCTCGTTTTGATGCTGGGATAAAAGGCCATGTTGCAGCCTAGGGCCAGGATTATCTCCGATTAAAGGGCGTTCCGTGGGGGCGGGTGGGATAGGAGCTCCGACCCCTTGGGTGAGAGGCGCTTTTTCCCAGACTACCCCCGAGGGCGTGTTCGGAGAAAGGGGGCTGGAGGGGACGGATTAAAGTTCTCAAGATGGGGGGATTCCCCTGTCCAGGGAAGAGGAGGGGCCATCCAGACAAAAGTGCCCGCCCGCTGTCTCCCCTCCCTCTCCTGCATCTTTCAAACCCGCGAGTGGGCGGGCGGGGGCGGGGGAAGTCCCCTCTCCTCCCCCTCCCCCTCCAGCCCGGGCAGTACAGCATCTCCGCGGCCGTCAAGGCCCCGGGCACGCGCGCGCACGAACCCACACCCCCGCGGGTCTCACAATCGCGCACACACACGTACACACACATAACAGCAAACAAAGGGTCTGGACACCCCTGTCCCCTCCCGCCCCTCAGGCCGGAGAGGGCGGGGCATCCCCTCCCCAGCCCCTCTGCAAGGTAAGCTTCCGGGCTGAGAGCTGTGGTTGGGGACGGGGACCTGGCACCCCGGAGGGAGGGGACCAGGACGCTGTGGGGTTCCTCCGCCCCCCAAGAAAACCGGGGCCCACCAGTACGCCCTTTGAGGGTTTCAGGGCAGCCTCCGGGCTGTGGGTGTGCGGGGAGGACCCCAGATGCCGGAAATTCCCGGGTTTCCGCTGAGATCTTTCCCTGGCTTCCGAGACTGGAGCCTATCGGCTCCAGTGAAACGGGATCCTGGGAGCCCGGGATCCTGGGAGCCCGAGCTCCCCAAATTGGGGACAGGGCGCCGGAAGCTTCCCCCTCAGCGCCAAGACTTTCCTAATCTGCCAGCACAGCATGTCCGGCTGGGTGCTGAGACAGAGCCCTCTGAGTTGCTTTGCACCGACCTGGGCTTCTCACACCACCATCATCAGGGCATCTTCTGCTAAGCCTCCGGTACCTGTGAGGTGAGGGTGGGCGGCTACCCAAGCTTTCTCTGCTGCATCCCACAGCCACACATAACTTAGCTGCGGTGGGACCCCAGTGGCATCAGCTCTGACTCCCTGAGCTTCAGTTTCCTCATCTGCAAAGTGGGTAGCGACAGCGAGGATTCCCTGAGGTCATGCATGCAAGCCTGCCTTTGCTCTGTCATTGATTTCCTAGCTCATTTCACACATATTTCCAAGCGCCTACTACATGCCTCAGCATTGCAGCCAGGGAATGGGACTATAGCCACCGGCAAAAAGAGCCAGTGTTTGCTGTGGTTGTACCTAAGGCGGGTGCAGGAGCAAGATCCGGGTGTAAAGAGAGCAAAACCCACTGGTGAATTCAGACTGTAGAGACTAAAATCTCTTAGGGCGTAGAGGGTGACTGGGGGTAAGAGTGTGCCAGATGGAAGGAGATTTCTGGTTGGTATCTGCCTTACTCATTTACTTCATTCAGCTCGTTATATATGGGCTGGGCCAGAACAGTGCCTGATACACAGTAGATGCTTAATAAATGTTGACTGAATTAGAGAGGGTATTAGATTAAGACAATTTTCATAGTACTTTAAGCCAGGAAGGAGGTTTATCATAAACCAGTCCATCCTCCCTCCCATTGTACAGATGGGGCAAGTGAGTCCTCGAGACCTGGAACAGTGGAAAGAGCTTGTCAAAGGCAATACAGGGAGTTGATGGAGTATCATCGTTCCCATCAAGTGAGCGTGACTGAAGGAAGGGGAAAGGAAGAAAGTCAAGACCAGATTTGAGCACAGGGCGCCCCAGGAACCCATGATCCACAGCCGGCTCCAGCCTCTCTGTCTGTACCACACAGACATAGCTCTACTGTGATGAATAGCTACTCCATGAACATTTATTCAGTATCCACTACTATATGCCAGGTGCTGGGGCCACAGCCGGGAACAGAACACAACTCTCCGCTCCCACAGAGGTGCTATTTAATGGAGAAGACAGAAAAAGAAACAACGTGAACAAATAAATATATAACCACAGATTATGATTAGGACTGTGATCTGTGATCGAAATAGAAGGCTGTGTAGAAAGAGCAAAATGGAAGGGCCCACTTCCAGTTGGGATCCAGGAGGACTTCCTGGAAGAGTCGAATTCATCTTCACATACAACACACACACACACACACACACACACACACACACACACACGTAAGCTCACTCACATGCCCTTAAACCCAGACGGACATAATCATACTAAACAAACACCATACGGGGGCGGGAGCCAGCACAGCTGAATAACATGCCTGAGGCCACAGAGCTAGTGAGTGACTTAGCAAAAATTTGAACCCAGAACCTGCATTCCTAACTACTGTGAAATGCTGCCTCCTGCTGTGTCCACAAGAATGTGTTCTCCTCTCTTCCTGCATACACGTTCTGTAATCACACAGAGGCACGTCCAGTGTCATTCATAGACTGATGTGGCTTCGCCCTGTCCCATGTATTTATATACTCCTGCAGGTGTGGTCTGGTTTTAGCTGTGTGGCACTCACAGACTCACCCAAAGTCCCACCTGCTCGGCCGCACACACACGGACACCGGTGTATACTCTCATGCGCACATACATGCATATCCACGAGAACTGGGTCAACGAGAACTGCAAGTACAAAGGCCCTGGGGTCTCTGGCGAGCCGTCCTGGCCCTGCTTTAGCTCCAGGCATAGAGCTAGTTAGTAACGATTCCTTCTCAGGCCTGAATGCTCAGGGCCAAAGTGTGAATAAGGGCCTTTATCCTCACCTCCTTCCCTCTTTTTGGCCATCTAGGGCAGCATCCTTCTGAGGGTGGTGGGCTTGGGTGAAGCTGGTGCTTTCTTGTCCAGCCAGGCCAAGGGCTCCCAGGCTGGGCCACTAGCTGATCCCACTGACAAGCTGGGGTAAGGAAAGCAGCCCCTCTCTCTTCTCTCGCCTGAGCCTGGTACCAGTTGCCCAGAACAGCGTGCTCTGCCATCTGGACCCCCCTCTCCCCAGCCTGCCTGCTGCCCAGGGGAGGGGAAGGCAGGCTTAGAGGCACCCCGCTACCTTGGGCACTCAGGCCTGTTCGTGATGCCCTGCCTTCCAAGCCTGGGGTTCTGCCAAGGCTGATTTCTGCAAACGTGCTCAGGTGTCCAGACAGTGGTGGGCGGTGTGTGTGTCTCTGCCCCTCTTCCCTGGAATGCAGGGCTCCGCTGGCCATCCACTCCTCCATTCCTTCCTTTATTCTGCAAATCCAGGGCTGCTCCAGACTCTGGGGATCTGGCTACAGGATTCGAAGAGCCCAGGGCAAGGGGAAAAATGCAGGGCCCTTGGTCAAAGTAAGGAAGCATTTCAGACAACAAGGACAGTGCATTCAACCTTCCAAGCACGGGCTTGTGAGTGACTGTACGGGTCACAGGTCTTTGAAACCGGTTCTCGATACAGCTAAAACCAGACTGAAAAATCCCCTCCCCTCGTGGATCTCAGGCTGTGGACAGAGATGTAAATGTACATTATGTCAGGGATGATGATGGCTGAGGAGGAAGATAAAGCTGAGAGAGGCTAATGGGATGGAGGGAAGCAGCTATATCAGGGAACCCTCCAGAATGAGCTGCTTTGAGCAGAGGCCTGAGGAGGTAAGGGCTTCAACTGGATTGATCCGTTCTTTTAAGAGATATAGGTTGAGTGCCTACTGTATGCCAGCATTGTCCTAGGATCTGAGAGCCAGCTGGAGACAGAACAGATCAACATCCAGACTTCAGTGTCCGAATTAAAGGGTGGGCAACAGCTGATAAAAATAGTAGGCACAGGGGCGCCTGGGTGGCTCAGTGGGTTAAAGCCTCTGCCTTCGGCTCAGGTCATGATCCCAGAGTCCTGGGATCGAGCCCCACATCGGGCTCTCTGCTCGGCAAGGAGCCTGCTTCCTCCTCTCTCTCTCTGCCTGCCTCTCTGCCTACTTGTGATCTCTGTCTGTCAAATAAATAAATAAAATCTTTAAAAGAAAAAAAATAGGTACATTCTTTATCTCATTAGAATGTT